GATATTTTTTAAACAGCGTTATTGTCCTGCCCCCCCCCCCCCAAAAAAAAAAAAATAATAATAATTAATAATAATAATAATAATAAGGGAACAGATAAAAAGTAAAATCTAAAAATTTTAGGAAATTGGCTGGACTGACACTTCAGTTTACACATGAATGCTCCCCAAGTTTTAAGTTACCGTAGTCGATTAAAAATTATTTTCTGCTAAAAATAATGAGTGACCTTAAAAAATCATGGAAATTACGAAAAACGAAAGTGTTCCAGTAGTTGATAAATAAATTTCCGCCTTTTCTCGCCTTTCCTTGAAATTTGATGGACCTTTGTAGTCTTTAAGAACAAATTTCATCGCCTTTTTTCGGGGATGGCGTGGGGGAGGAAGTCACCCTGTACAATATTTTTCTGTTTTCTATATCTGATCTAACTCCTTCTCAACGACTAACGTAAAACAGCCCATTATTTACCCGCAGGGTTACAACATTTCTAAAACAGAATGAATGAGTTTCGTTGCCTCTTTGCCATCTACGATGTAGCTCAGGCCAACCTTGTATTAACATGTATATATAAACTATACATTTGTTTTTATTACTTACGAGCAATGAAGTTATCATTACATACAAGTACATGTTGTCATAATCTATGGTGTTGTAGGGATGAAAGGACTTCCAGGTGGGCCAAAGGGAGAAAAGGGAGAAAAGGGAATGCAAGGGATTCCCGGATTAAACGGATTGGCAGGCCTGAAAGGAATGGCAGGCATGAAAGGTAAGATTGGGAAATGATAAAAGTTATGGATACGTTGCATTAATTGATATACGCGTTCAAATAGCACATGAAAAATGAAACTCATGTGCGCAAATACTGCATTTAGCAGGACCAACACTATATGAGCATTGGATTCAAAGAATGCAGGCCAGATCCTTGAACATGCTTATGAATAAAAGGAAACAGTGGCACATTTTAGGCGCATGTATCTATTTTGATCAGCAGCGGCTTTCCATGTTACCACCACCAATACATCGTAATACATCATACGCAATACGCATGTGTTTGTGTGTGCGTGTGTGATCGTATTCGTCCCTAAACTAAGAGTCATCAGGTAATTAATGGATGGATTAAGTGGTTAATCTTTTCCAGAAATAGTCTTGTCGTTGTCTTTTGAATAGTCTCCTGTAGTGAATACAGATGTTTTATTTATGAGACGTTGTTTCATACACTCGTATAAAAAATTTTGTTTTCACTAGAAAATGTTTTATGAGATAAATTTTGTTTCACGTGAATACGGACACCTGTGACTCGCGTCCTATTATGAATTGTCTTTGTTTCGTGTGTAGTCTCTAGATAATATCCAGTCTAGACCAGATACATGACACTACTATCACCACTGAATGTTCTGATTTTTCAAGACTACATTAACACTTTAATTCCTTACAAAACATCACAGATTTCTATATATGTTGTACGAGTTAACAGGGTTTCAAAAATAATTAAATTGTATGTTTTTGAACTTTATCGTTCATACTGGATACAAAATGCCTATATCATCTTGCTTTATCATTCATTTATTTTAGGTATGAAAGGAAACATGGGCATGAAGGGAAACATGGGCATGAAGGGTTCCAAGGGGTCTCCAGGTAGGAAAATGTGGCAACTTTAAATTATTACCTCCTCAAAGAAGGTTATGGTTTTGGTTCCGCTTGTCTGTTTCTCTTCAGCAAAATTATGGAAAAAAGTTGTGAACGAAGTTTGATGAAATTGTAAGAAATTGTCGGGGGGTTACGAAGTAACAAACACTTAGATTTTGGTGTTAAGAATTGATCCTTGAAACAATTGATTTTATTTAATTAATATTAACGAGACTTGAGCTGAGTAAATGTTCATTAATCAGAATTGAACAAATAAATAATAAATAATAATGATGAGGGCTGATCTTCATTAGCTGATATCAGCGCTCTTCGAGTGCTTTTCTAATTTCATTTTATTAAACTAATCGCTCTAATTTTCTCTTTTTCTTTTTACAGACACGCGCACGCACACACACACACACACACACACACACAAAGCACCAAACTACCACGGTAAACCTTATCCGTAACTTTATTTGTCATCAGGAATGATACTTATGATGCCACCGGCGAGTCAAACGACCGGCTTTACACCGACTGGAACCGGAGCGGGTTTTGGGACGACCGGAGGTTCCGGAACTACCGGCGGTTCTGGGTTTACCGTTGGGGCCGGAATTTTCACAGGTTTCGCACAAAACAATGCACTGCTCAATTTATTAGGGATCCAAAATGCTGGTGAGTTTATTTGAGATAAAAGGTGTTACTTCACGCATGATAAACTGCATAAATATAAACGGATTTTTGGCTGTTTAATTGACAACGTATTACAGACATCATTAACAACTTTCCTTAGTTGATTGTTCATTCCCGATCCATTGAATACACGGTATAAGTAGAAACATTATTATTTAATTTTATGCCCCTTTTTGTTTTACGGAGTTAGATGTATTACGCAGATCAAAAATGAGGAATAATATTGAGAGTTACAGGTAAAGTTAAAGGACACATTTACATTCAACGTATTATACCGTTTTTTTTTTTTGTTTTTTTTTTGTTAGCCGCAACGGTTTCGTCTCTCTTTAACACTGGGTTCTTCAGACAAAACTTTGGACTAAACCTGGGACAAACCGTCGGGCAAAACCTTGGAATTAACCTGGGACAAAACTTTGGTCAGACCACACAAGGAACAAATATTTTCGGCAAGTTTTAGTAGATATGTAAAGTGATATGATTTATTGTAATATCTTAATGAAGATTTAATGAGATTTTAATATTTCTTAATTTTTTTATATATTTTGGTAATTGTGTTCTTAAGTACTTGTTTTTATGTAAAGTCCACTGAACATTTTAATGGATTTCAAACTAAAATAAATGAATTAATTTATTATTATTATTATTATTATTATTATTATTATTATTATTATTATTATTAAATGAAGATAATTGTGATACCCCGTTTGAAAATTTTACATCAAAGAACAAAGTTATCTTCATTTTGAACACTTAATTGAACCTACCTGTAAATACATGTCGCAGATCAGTACTAAAATTGTCATTTACAAACCACATTAGAGTCAATAAATAATAATGAAATAATAAATAAGTGAATAAATATTCCTATCACATCTCTGGTTCGTTGAATTTGTTGTTTTTTCTTGAATTTCCTATTCATTTAATTATACTGATAGTAACAAATGTCTGGTAACCGGTTGTATTCATTATCGTTTATTTTCTCTAGGATTCCCCCTATTCAGCAGAATGCGATCTGAGTCTAAGGGTATCGCCAAAAATGCTCAGTATATCAGGGCAAATAGAACAGAAGGTGTGGCATCAATAATCACGCTGGCAGTAGCGGTCGTGGTGCTGGTGGTGGTGATTGTTGTTATGTGGAGAAGAGTATCACGGAACAAGGAGACATTACGGGAGACATTACACAAGGAAATATCTGAGTTACGGGAAGACATAGCCAACAATGAGTTCGGCACAAATGACTGTGACTGCAACGAATCAATAGTGTAGCAAAGCATTACTCATCCTAGGGTCACTGTAGGACTAATACACCTGTTACTGTGCCACTGTAAATGTTGTCACTTAGAAAAGAGCAGCTCACAGAAGACATTCCGCGGGGTATCTGGAAGTGCATCTCTGTTACATAGACATCGACAGATTGATATCCTGTAAATGCTCATGAGAACAATAAGAAAAATATCGGGCAGCATAGAACAAGCATCCTCTTCCAAAAAATACTCGGATGCAAATATTCTCAGGCAAACGTTTTTAAACTTAAAAGTATATAACTGAACGCACTATGGTCGTGCCATTTCAGTAAATAAATCTATCAATTATTTAAACCAAGTTTTACCACTTGTTTAGAAACTATAGAAATTTAATTCTGTTTATGTGGGTTTCGATTTGCTCTCTCTGTTTGTAATTTTTTTTCATCAGTTCAGACGTTAGCCAAAAGCTCGGATATAAACGCGACAAAAATCAATTTACTCGTTAGAATTTTGAAAGTAATATGGTATTATCGCAACTCCCTAACATTATCTTCGTTTCAATATAATTTGGAATTATTTGCATAAAATATATGAAATTATAACTATTGCTTTACGCCATACAGGACGTTTTTACGGTGCTGTTTTCGTCTCAAATTAAACAGCACAACAATGAAATTTTAAATGGTTACCATATTGTACTATTAGTTGAGCCGCGCCCTTTAAAAATCCATTTACTCATTTTTTTAGAAGTCAAGTGTTCCGAAATACCTGCCCCCAGATTAGGTGGTCTATACAAATATGTTAAATCTGTATAAATTTTTTTTTTTTTTTTTTGGAAAAAATTCTAGAAAAAGAGACACATTGTAGAATATGCAAATAAATAAATAATATCTGGCAGGGGCAAAAGCGAATGCTGCGAATCTATAAATTTAAGCAGCTGAATTGATGTATATTTTTTGTCATCATTAATAGACATTACAACCGATCCCGTAAAGAAAAGAAAACACCCATTGTAAAAAAAAGTACACGCTTATGCATCTTACATCATGAAAAGCCTGGTTAACTCATTGCCCATTTACTTCAAGGACTAAGCGGCTGTAATAAGCATTTTAAATTGAATTAAAGAGCTTTTGTTCTTTCAGCTATTGGTAAGCTATTGGATAGTTAATGTAAATACACAGCACACAGTTTTTACACCACAAATGTCACATGGCGGTCACGTTATCATACATATAGCCCTACCTTAACCGGGTTGAATAAATGCCATTCATACTCTCAGGAGTTCAAGGTCGTAGGGAAATATTAGAGAAACACACAAAAAGGTATGGTGTGAGAACCATACTTGAACATGTCGATTTCTTAAGACGTTTATGTTAATATGTTCAAAAAGATATACCTGACAAATAAAAGTGCTTTTAGCGGGAGTCGGAGTCCTCCTTTTTTTACTGTAGCTTGGGTCTCCGCGTTACCCCGAGTGTCAGAGCAACGTAAAAGCTAGCTTGTTAAATATATACCTTTACTTGTGATGGAGTCGCTTTTAGTAGTATTGTTGATATGGGTTATATATGAAATCAAGATCGAGCTGACAATACCGGAATCTAGAACCTAGGGTACTCCGCGTCGGACATGCTAGTAAATTTTTTACGAAATGTAGTACCATCCACCATGACACCTACATGTACAGTATTTTGGACTTGGAAAATTGTGAAAGTTCTAAAATTGTTACCTTATTCCTTCCATACTAACAAGTACATGTATATATGTATGTTCTCATAATTATTTCACAAAAATGGCAACACTAGTACTACTACTACTACTATTTGATTACAAAAAAGCAGCAAAACGCTTTGGACTGTGCATATATACCGGTAAATACTATTTGCTGACTGCAACTTCATGAATATGAGTGATTTGTTTTCCGAATTTAACGACAGGTGTATCGGGGAGAAACAGACATTTTACATGCCTCGGGGCTTGGCACATAAACGACACGTAGCAAATACACATTCATATGGATCTGTTTTATTTCACAAAACAACAAAAGTTGAAAATTACACTGAGCAAAAAATGTTGAAAATATAATATATAAGCAGACGATGCTATTTACGAGGAATCTTAGAGCAATTTACCGCGGCGTCCTTTGTCTTTGCCTTTTTAAAACAAAACTTTGTACAAAGAAAACATGATTGCTGTCAATGTTTTTGCTCTCACTGGTGACAAAAACGTGTCGGATTGTCAACTGCATACATCACATGTACTGCCGTGACCAATGTTTGGTCACTTGGGGTGAAGAGGCCGGGTGAAGACGTTAAACAAGTAGACAGTTTGTAATAATCATTACGCTTGGTTACGGGCTAATCATCTCTCAGACCAATGCTATAACATTGCCGACTCCATGCACATGCAGTCAACTATCCGTCTACGGTAAAACAAAATTTTGCTTACACCAGATATACCTGTTGGGATAAAGTCCTTGCTGGATTATCTGCCCTGAAGATATAATATCACAGTTCCCAGTTGCAAAACGGGGTTTTATTTACTCACAATATGCACAATACCATGTTCTACGATGTAATTAAGCACATCAATCCGCGTATGTCTGTGTTTAGCCAACTTTATTGCCGAAAAAGCATAACTATCAGTGCCCCTTTTTGTGATGAATTTCACATGGCAGAAGTTTGATTTATATAGAATCACTGATGTAAAAACACGNAATAATGTTAAATGTCCAATATCCTCCATTCTGAGATTCTGAACATAGTGGATGATTGAATCTGACAAACTGCAATGATATGAATTTATTTCCATTTTTGACACTTTATTACACAATACACGATAACAAGTTTACCATCATTTTTACACGATCAACTAACAATGTTGTAAAGATGCAGGAAATATCAAACAAACACTTTTATGTATCTTATTAGTTCAATAATGAGACTGTTAACATGCCTAAGAATTAAATCTGAGGAAATGTGAAAAAACAACATAACTTCTCAAATAATGCCCCGATTATGCTGATTTTCGAACTCAGCCTGCTTTTTAGTAAGATTGACCATTCCTGTGAGTTTAATGACAATTGACTTATCTGTTTTTCTTATATTGTGTTTACAGTGTTGCATATATGCTGAAAAATGAAAAAACAGCATAACTACTAAAATAGTGGCCCGATCATGCTGATTTTCGAACTTGACCTGCGTTTTATGAATATTCATCAGCTCTGTAAATATTAAGACAAAAAGTAAAACTGCCCTCCACTTATCGTGTTTACAAGGAAAGTGCATGGCGACGGCATCGGCATCGGCATCGGCATCGGCGACGGCGACGACAGACGCAGGTGATGGCAATATGTACAGACACATCTGTGTCTGTACAAAAAAAGTTGGTATAACTTAAATTTTAATGTTAAAACATCAACTATCTTTGCTGTTGCTATGATAAATGGTGTCCAAGTGAATTCCATGTAAGAAATATTAATCAAACGAACAAGTTAAGACTTTGCGAATATTTAAAAGGCAATTAAATGTCATGCTATTATATCAGCGTTTCTCAATTAATTCCGACCTGGATTATATGCAACTACCATCTCAAACAAAAGTCATTTTTAATTTTTTTTTATGGAAAATAACTAGTGTAGATTTAACAACAGGTGTATGGGGAATTAACGTATAACTAGAAAGTATACCTTTCGGCAATGCTTCATTGGCAGTACAATAAATATTAATATTAATTTCCTTTTAGGGAAATAAAATGTATATTATACTTGTCACAGTCTTTTTAACGAACCTCTTTGCACAATTCTCTTACAATTTTATCAATTTGAACTGAATCAAAAATTTAATAATGCTAACTGCAACTGATGTTAAGATTTCAGTCCTTCCCGACGCTGGCCACACTGTGGCATTTAAATGGGACCAAAAAGTCTCATTGCATCGTTTATTGATTTTGAGGACGTTTGATGATCGTTTGTAATTTCATTAGTGGAAATTATTAAAAAAAAAAAAAAAAGACAGGGAGAAAGAAAAAGAGAGTGAAGAAAAAACGCACAGACCATTTTTATGCATCAAAACAATAAAGCCCCTGTTACACCGGGCTTCCAACCGCTTTGATAACGAATTTGCCTACTGTTACCTACCCCTTAGTTGAGGCTTTGACAATACTGGATAGACAACGTCGATTCCACTCATGCTAATGACTAAATATATTGCAACCTTTTAGTTTGTTACATATATGTGATAGCGGATCAACATTCGTTTTTCAAGTGGTTACAAGCCCAGTGAAACAGGGAAACGGGGACTTTTAAGGCAACAAGATAAACATTCTAATATTACCAAGAGGCATTGATTTATGAAGTTTGATTTCCAGTTTGCGACACACGACCACTCGGAACTACTCGGATGTCTCCGCACTCGACAATGACCTCGGACGTAATACGGAGGCAGCCATATTTGATTGTTGATTGTTGGGAAGGAACTACTTTCAACCTCGCGCTAATTTAAACCTAATTCTTTCAATGCCTGTATCTTTTTACCCTTTAAATCTAAGTCAATCTTAGTGCATTGTTTGGCAAACTGTAAATCATCATAAAAAGCAAGGGTATTGACAGCCATCTTTATGAGCGGAATAACCGAATTGAGTGAGAAGGCATTTCCGGCGAACAAAATGCATGGATTTGGTGCATATTTCTCCGCCTATCACATCCGAGGTTAGTATGGAGCTTGCGGAATGAGCCGAGGATTGCCGATTGACACACGACAGCGGCGCCATTAGGCTTTTTACAGAATCCAGTGGTTAGTTTCAGATCGTTTTATCAAGCACGGCAATTTGTAATTAGATTTCTCGACTCCCCGCGGTGACGATTTTTCACTCTCGATCTTTTTGGCGAATGAATTTTTCAAAACTATGTGCTCCTCTTTTTAGTAAAGAGGAAAACTGCAATGAAATTAATGGAAAATGCGAACTTGACAATGGGTGTCAAAGGCAAACTCAACCTTCATACGATTGTATTTCTTAAATAAAATATATATGTTTACAGTTTTGAACAGGGCCTAGATTTTCAAATGAAAAATAATACATTGTCAGATTAAGTAAAAAATATATATTTTAAGATAAAATAATGTTCACTACACATTACCCACTAATTTGATATCTAATATATTTCAAAGATATACCTAGTTTCAAGAAAGATTTATACAAATAATATCTGAAGTTTCAATGTTAAAATATTAAAAACACCTCCATACTAGTACATTCTATATTTTGTACTTAAATACAACAAATTACTCAAATATCAAACTTTATTGCAATTAACAGACCTAAAAGATCTGCGCCTATTAATGTAAATGCAAAAGTTTGTTTATGCATATGAGTGAGAAATTCTGTGAACTTTGGAAAAATTTGTCAAGCAGCAGCAAGAGATCCCAGTATCCTCTGGATATATTGCATACCTAAAATTGTTCAATTCTAAACAAATTGGTTGCAATCAGAAAGAATTTAAATATTTCCTGAGAAAATACTACTGTGGTTCCCTTTCAAGGTGTTCATATGGTATATCTGCTACCATTGGTACAGGTACAGTATGTAGTACCAGGGCTGCAGATTAATAATCTGCACTTTTCTCCAATGTGAGTGGAGAAATGTGCCATAAATAAGCCAGAGAAGTGTGAATATGTAGTGAAAAATCAATCTGTGGCCTTGGTACCATGCAGGTGTGTAGTAGATTAATGTCTATTATAATGTATTTTAACCAAAAATATATCAGGCTAATTTGTGACCAGACTTACACTGGAATGTTACCATCATAATGATCCCCAGTGACTACTCGATGCTCAATGTGAGGGAATTTGAAAACAACTGTCATATAGTGAACACACACAAACACACACACACACACAAAAAAAAAAAAAAAAAAAGACATGACAATTGCAATCAAACGGGCCTGGTTTTGTCAGTCACAATTAACTTCAGGAATGAAGAAGTCAAACCAATGTTAAAACTTCTGTTTATAAACCAGTTCTAAAGGTGGGATTTAAATATTTAAATAATTCAAATATCATATACCAGGTAGTTAAGGCTGACTGTCATCTCTAAAACCAAACCAGTTCTCTTAATTCACAAGTGGTTCCCTAGTAGTCAATATAATGATGACTATCATGGATAAGGCATAAAATTGATCATTATAAATCTAGTTCACTCTGCCTGCTCATACAGCACCTTGTTCTCCTGGTGCCACCTGGTGGCGCTGATGACACTCTGATTGTGTTCTGCTTCTCAAACTGCTGCCCCTTGGACTTCAAATATAACACCCTGGCCATGTCTTCAAACATCTCTTTCACCCCCTGGCCCGTTTTGTTGGACGTCTTGTACTGTCCACTTAGCGCCTCATCCCCAAAATTCTGGACGAACATTTCAATGTCCTCGTCTGTGACACAGGACGACCCATGAACCTGCTCATCGCATTTGGTCCCACACAGGAAAAGCGTGTTTGTCTTGGAGTACATTTTTATTTCGTTCTGGAACTGAGAGAGAACACTGAGGGACCCTTTATCACTGAGGCTGAAGCACAGTAGCCCGGCGTGGGCCCCCTTGTAGTAGCTGGCTGTGAGGCTGGACACCCGCTCCATGCCCCCTGTGTCCCACAAGGTTAACTGCATGAATATGAAGAGAAATAACATTAAATATAATGGTACAGAGATCCTATGATGGTTGCATCCACAAAGTAGACTAAAAAAAAAGGTCAGGAAGTTACAAAATCTCAGAGCACAAAGTATATGTACATACATGTAGAACAAAATTCAAAATTATAAGATATGGCAGGATATTGTCTTTTCATCCTATTTCTACTCATAATTAACGGTAAAAAGGACAATAATACATAATGTGCTTTCCCCATAAAATCAATTAAAATTGTGTAATATTGTAACATTTACTTTCATTCATGTTTGCAAGTATTACTATCCATACAACCCTTGTATTACCACCATAACATTCAATATAGGAAATAAAAAAGAAATAATATCATATCAAAATTAGATCAAATCAAATTAAATCAAACTGAATTAAAGGTGCATTCACAGAGGAAAGAGATGATACGTATGTAATTTTTATAGCATCATTTTGCAACACACTAGTATTTTAAAGTGAAAAAAGGCTGCAGAAGGAAATGTGAAATCAATCCTGTAGAAAGGACTGAAAGTACCAGATTCATTTTTCAAAGAAAATTTCCTGTCAACAATTGCAACCCAGCACCTTTATTAAAACTATAATGAAAGAAGTTTACAATCACCTCTACTGCCACATCATCTTCCACCTTGAACAGTCTGGAGAAGAAATCCAAACCAATGCTGGACTTGGGATCAGCATCAGGGCAGAATGATCCATCTATAAAATTGCGAAATAAGGAACTTTTCCCCACACCAAACTGACCAAGGATAATTATCTTGAAGCAAGGCACGCCCTTTGATGCCATTGCTCTTCACAATATGTAGTCCTGGTTCCTAGCTTGGAAACTTCTTGGTGGTTCAGTTTTCTGTAATAGCAAATGTAAATAATCTTAAATATTCCAAGTAAAAAAAGAAAAGGAAAAAAAGCCAAATACACTGAGCAAAAATATAAATACCCTTGGTGAATTATTTATGTAACATGTCATGGGCTATGGATAGTAATCTGTAGCTACAGACAGTGCAGACAGCTATCTGTACATTGTAAAAACAATCACTTAGTATGATTTAATATAATATAAAATATAACCCATAAATTAAGGCTAATAAATTTTTTAAGCATTGTGTGGGGATTTTTTTATTTTTTCTCAGTGTTCATGAAAAGTGTACATCTACATTGGCTAGTACATGTAGCTCCTGGCTCTATGTACAGTACTAGTACACCCCAGTACACAGAACACCTCAGATTCCTTACTTTGAAAAATGTCATCTATCATCAATGTTCAGAATCAGAGTTCATCTCCTTCATTAAGTTGAGCTTAAAAGCAAACACCATGCAGTGCATCTGTACAACTATTTTAATAGCCATTTACCATGAGAAATTTTTAGTTTAGATCTTGACATTACTATACTCATTACTAATTTTCCCTTTTTAAATACATTCTGTCAACTTACTATTTAAGTTTCTTTTAAAATCAAGACACATTTTGACTTTTGTACCCTTTCTGAGAAGATAAATCTCTTTTTTCATTCAATAGAAATCAACAGGGCCTACTACCTTCTGAGAGAAGACACCAGATAATGTACACAGATAAGATAGGTTAGGGATTGTCATAATATCAGTCAGTCCAAAGAGTAAGAATAATTTATCATAAGTTTATCTATAAATCTGAATAACGGAAACTTCCTGATTCAAAATCAAAATTCAAGTTTAGGTACTACAGGCACTGGAAGTGCAATAATATACTGGTGATACAAACAAAACCAATGCTTGACACTATGGGGTCCCATTTCCAATTCAATGATGCATGTAATGATACTGGTAAAGTATCACACCTGTGTTAAACAAATGTGTAACTGAACATATGTCACTAAAATTGAATGTGCTATGAACTGATAACTTTTCTCCGTCTTAAAGCATACATGTAGATCAGCTTTTTGTTGTGTCCATTAAGAATTGTGCATTATTTTGTAACTTTACACTGGACAGCTTACTTTCACTATTCAATAAAGGAAACTGGAAAAATAGGAGATTGTGCAGGAAGAGTAACGTGAAGCTGCCAAGTCATTTTTAGCTGGAGGTACATGGGAGTAAAGCTGTGAGCATGAAGCAGAAGTGGATTTTCCAACACTATGGTCAGATAATACTTTTTTCTTTTGGCATTTTGAGCTGAGAATACTTGTAGAAATATGGGATATTTGATTGAAAATGTGTTTTGAAGCTTGAAGGTACAAAATTGTGCTTATTTTCAGTCAACTTGTTTTCGAATAACTTGCTGCATTAACTAACAATGCAACAAAGAATGTCAAGAACCAAATCCTCCCAAGACTAAAATTGTTGGCATGGGCAGTTTTTTGTATTTATGTAATCTGATATGCCAGCATCTAATTATTGTTTGGTGTTTTATGGTATGTGTTGCAATTATAACAATGTTTAAAAGCCCTTTAATAAACTTAGAAAACCAGGAAAGGGAACGCAACTAACAACTACAGGCAAATCATGTCAAACCATGACTGTTGTGCAATTATTCATCTTTTCTTTTTTTTTCAATATTGTGACAAGTGTTTAGATGGTTTATTTTCAGGGATCTTGATGGAACACACCAGTTACAAGTGCTGCACAATTATCAAATTATACCCTCTACCAGGGTCACAGATTGATTTTTTCTACAGATACTCACAGAAATGTCTCTGGCTTTTTTAGCAAATATACCTAATTTGGCAAATCCACTCGTTGTTAAAGGGATAATAACTCTTCATTTCGGCCAAAAAATGAATTTTCCTGGAGTAAACAACAATTTTCCCATACCTACCAATGGTTAATGAATCCATTTTTACATTCAAAGTTAGTCTCTGGTTTTTTTCTAAAAAGTTTGGTTTTTTGTTAAAATCTCTTAAGAGATTTTAACAGAGTATAGCCATCAATGGAGGTCTAAAGACAGCTCAGATATCAGAAAAATAGCTATAACTGCCATTTTTGTGGTATATTATATTTTTATGAGTTATTCACAATGTTTTTATTGTGAAATATAGATCTCACACGAAGAGTTATTATCCCTTTAAGAAATTGGGGAGAAAAATATAACTAGACAAACACATACCCCAGTAAATAACAGTAAAAATATAAATAATTTTTCAAATTAACAAAACTCCTACAACATTTGCAATTTAAGTATGTTTTTTAGCTACTGGTACTTGTAACTACCTGTTAAATATAATAAATGTGCAACATAATCAAACTGAAGAAGGATACAATATATCCTAAAGAAAATCAGTACAAAACACTGGATGCTACAATGAGCCCATACACTGTACATGTACTGCCTGGTACATGTAACAAACTAACAGCAACAACATCGATCACAGTGATTCATGGACAATGTTTAGCTCTTGTTCATGATGTACTGTACATGTACAGTACACTATTACCTGACAGTGTATATAAACAACAAGTTGAAATACTTACGTACGTCCTACGTGAAAATATTCCTTCAAATATACTAGAACAGCGACCTTCTGTGTTCACCTGAGTCTTACTTCCCCCTTTCCGTTTCATATTCTCTTGTCAACAACCGCTTTCTCTTCGCTGGACATTCCTCCCGAGCATTCTACCGTTTGAGGGAATTCCCTTTTTTAAACATCACGATAGATATCGCTTTATCAAGAAAAGCCACAAAATATAACAATAAGCAAACATTTCCCCATCTTGATTTCGCGCCATCTATGTTCAAACATTCCACGTCGTTGGTGCTGGCGCTGGCGAGCTTTGCCTTACAACATGAGTAAAAACAAGTATTCAGTGCTGCTTCCGACTTATAACGAGAGGGATAATCTTCCTTTAATAGTGTGGTTGCTGGTGAAGTATTTTGAAGAGAGGTGAGTACATATGATGCTTCTAGTCAGTCGTAATCCCGTAGTGAAACTAAGCCGGATGCAAATCTCCATTCAGATCTCTACTCAATACTCATTCCACGCTCGGCTGTCACCTTGATTGGATAGTAAACGATTGTCGTAAAATCGCTAAATGATATTAAAACCGGGTGCATAAACTTGAAAACCACCTACAACAACCTTGGACTGCCACATTAATCCAATACAATGCAAAAATAAACTATAACAAGTGGTTAAAGCCTTTAAACCGAATGTCGTAAAGTCCCCATATACCTCCATAGAGACAATAAAATAGAATGAGCTTCTGAAACAAACCTGATCCAGTTCCAACAGAATAATCGAAATAAAATACTGCTGGGCATCGGAGCGGCCTAAAACTTGGCACGCTTACCGCTAATACTGCAGGCTACATCATCCCGTCGCTCGTTTGTAAATTCCGTGCATGGCATACGCACAATCAAACCGTAAAAAACAAATTCTCGGGGTGTCGTTGGCTAGGTCCACGCAACAATCCAATTCAGGAAATGACGTAACCGCAG